ACTTATTTATTATTTTATTAAATTGTTATTCTGACTTATAATCTCTCTTTTGGGTTGAGTTCATTTTCCCTGCTGGTTTACCTTTAAACCAGCGCACAAGCAGATTGTCTTTTCGTTTGCTAGTGATAGGAACAATAGCCTTTTTGGTTAAGCCCTACTGTTCTAGGCAATCAATAAAGAGAGATTTTAAAACTTAAGAATATAGTTCACTTGCAAAGAAATACATATTTAGAATTACTGAAATAGCTACAGGTAAAATAGTATAGATCCCTACTTAGTTGCATGAGTAGGATTTGCCTTTATGTGTGCTATTTTGCAAAAACCATGCATCAGCAAAACATAAAATTCTGGCAAAAAACCAGAATTAGCAAAGGAGAAGAGGAGCAAGTCGTCAGAAATTCATGTCTCTCAGAGAGGAAATTAATAAGATGTATGGTATGAAACCAAAGCAATTATAACATCTAAATAAGACAGTGTCTAAATGGAAAAACAACTGAGAAAGGGTAGCAAAAAAGTAAGAAAAAAGAAAAAGAAAAGCATGCCTTCAAAACAAAAAGAAATTTTACATGTGTAACACTAGATGATCAAAGAAGGAAACTAGTGAGAGATGGTCAATATGCTGCAGGTCTAATTCATTTTTTTCTAGACAGTCCACACAAAAGGAAAGAAGATAACATCCTAGGGACTGAGGTATGTTTTCTTAGGCTTGGGGGAGTGAATTGTTGAAAATATTTATCCTCATCATAAAACCGATAAGAAGGCAATTAGAATCCAGAAAGCCAACAAAGCACTAGACCCAGATGACTTACATCCCCAGTGGAAGAAAGGGGAACTGTAAACCTTATAGAAAAGATTTATGACAGCTTCCTGAGAACAGAAAAGGGCTGGACAAAGAATTGATGCACTTATCACATTCAATAGAAGAAGGAAGGAGCCAGGGAACAAATGCATTGACTTGTAGACACGGACATAGAAAAGGCTCACTAGGAAAGACAAAAAATTTGTCTGACACTGACGTGAGATATGGAAATAATCCAGAGAAAGGGAAGATAGGGAACTCACATTTGCAAAACTCATGTTTACCTTTAGTATTGATCATCCAATACTAGAAAAGGGCACATGTAGTAAAGGCCACTTATCTGTGTTTGAGGCAAGAAGATAGTCTCCCCCACATCTGTATTTGTGTGATTGTTACTCAAAGAGAGCAGTTCTTCCTAATGAAGAACGAAGTGCAGAGAGCTACATCAGTCAGTGGAGCATGACTGTTTGCTGTGGCAGGCTGCAACCTCGCAGAAGCAGAAGTTAATTGAATAACCCGGCGGACACATCTGGCCACTTAAGAGAAATTTCAAAAGTGCCACAAAGCATGAAGACATATAAATAATCCTCAGAGATTACAGAGCAACAGCACACCACCGCTGAAAGATATATGATTCACAACTCAGTGTTGAAGGGATGCTTTCAGAAGCGCCTTTAATAAGCACTTTTTTTAAATGCAGACACCATAATTTGAAGTTATTTGCATGGTTAAGGGGAGATAAAAGGGGAAAACATTAAAGAGATTAATTTGTTTAAGGTCAAAAAACAAAAAGCAATAAGTGGATGTGTATAACTCCTTCCCTTTCTCCCTCAAAACACTATACCAAATTAATTCCTCTAAATTATGCTGTTAATTTACTCTGGACATTAGTTTTTATTTTTAATCTGTAGTTTCTGTTTATAAAGATTTGATAGCTTCAGAAACTGAAAAATCTCTAGGATCAGAAGGTCAGAAATGCTTACTTACACTTTTCTATTTGTGCACTTAGAGTCCTGAGTGTAAAATTTGAGCTGCCAAAAAAAAAACCCTCAAAACACTGATTTTCTTGCCATAACGTGATTTGGCACATGGAGTCTTCTCTCCTACCATTTCACATTACAGGTAGAGAAAAGTACTATACAACTGGAGGACTGTACCTGGAGGATATTTTGTCAAAACAGAAATATGATCATTTTCAGCAAAATGAAGCTTAGAAATGCACAGCCAAAGTCATGGGAAGAAGCAGAGCTACAAGACAGCCTTTATACTTAAATAATGTACAGTCTTCAAAGGCCTTCAGTTTTCTCATCAGCAAGCCTGTGCACACTCGTCCAGAGTTTGTCACATGATTTATCTCTTCTAAAGGGGGAAAGAGTTTCTGTGGGAAGTGCTGTTAAAAGACCAACAGACTTCATCATTGAAACAATTAAACAAATACTACTATTTTTAGTTTCAGTGAGATGTTTAGTTCATTAAGTGGCACTTCTAGCTGTTCTAATCACCATGTCAGCCTCTGATTATAGACTGTAATGGTTTGGTCTAAGCCTCTTCCTGGCAACCAGGTCGAAACTAAGGAAGTACCTATGCCCCATTATTCCATCCTATTCCTTACGTAAGCAAACATATAAATACAATGGGAGAAGGGGTTGAGTTCTCTTTCTTTTCTGGTGGACTTGAAGAAAACAGCCTCTCTGTGTCTCCTCCAGCTTGGGGGTGTGGGGCCTGTGGTTTGTCGAGAGGCCGCTGCTTCTTCCTGAGTTCAAGAGGGAGATGCAGTGATTTGTGGACTGAGACATTTCTGTTTTCTCAAGGAAAGTACTGAGATTTCATTTGCTAGTTCTTTATTTTACTGTGTATATCTGGTTTTTTTGGTTTTGGTTTTGGTTTTGGGTTTTTTTGGTTTTTTTTCTTTCTTCTTTTTTTGGGGTGTTTGGGATTCTCTTTCTATATATATATAGTATTGTAACTGTATATAAATGTAATATATGTAAATATATATATACTGCTTTGGTTGTGTTATTTGAGTTTTTGGTAGCTTTTTCCCTTCCGATTTCCTTCCCCTGTGTTCTTAAGAAAGGGGGGGGAGAAGAGCTTTTGTTGTGGTGTTGGGCACTTGGCAGAGAGCCAAGCTCAAACTGCCACATGGACAACATTTCTGATCATCAGAAAATTAAAATAAGCTTGAAACATACATCGTGGAACCATAAGTGGTTTGGGTTGGAAAGGACCTTAGAGGTCGTCTAGTTCTTACCCTCCTGCTGTGGACAGGAGGGTTCTATGATTCTGTGACAGGGATGCCACCCACTAGACCAAGTTAATCAAAGCCCCATCCGGCCTGACCAATAGCAGTAATGAAAAAGAGCTGGATCCACTGAGGAAAGGAAATCCAAAAGCAAAGAGAGATTTGCCAAACAAAAAAATGCTCACATAAGCACCAATAAATTGAAAGCTGGTACCACATTTTTCTTGTATCCTGCAAGTGCCTAAAGTATTTGTGTACTAAATTCACGTACCAAGATCACAGCAAGAGTTTTCATATGAAGTTGTACACCAATTAACACACAAAATCAGCAGAACTACACTTACCACAGAAAAGCAAAAGCAGCCTTGGAAAAACAATTAAGTGCACTGAATTAGGAAAGTCAGGACAGTGCTCAAAGTTCAATACAACTCATCTTTAAATGTAAAAGTTGTGAGACGAGAGACAAAAAATAGCCACATTAGCATCTCCAGTATTTTATAGGGACAGATCTTTGTAGCTCCATTCAGAATAGTCATCATCTGTCTTTTAATAACTGTGTATTCAGAACTACACAGTCAACCTTGCTGGAATCTCAGAACCTAAGGACTGGTTCTCCACTTTTTATTCATAGCATTTTCTCATGGCCTTTGAAAGCATTGATTGGACAAAAAAAATTAACACAGCTGGCATTATAAGCGCTACACAATCATCAGGAGCACACTTGCGATTATATAAAATAAGATCTGAAACAAGAGCTGTGATATTTTTTGACTCAACACAGTATAGTTAGTTACTAATTCAAGTTCTGGTACACTTTCTCTGCACAGACAATTTTTTTTCTTTTTTTTGTTTTCACCTGAAATTTTCAGTCTTCATTTTACCAGGTCAGACGGTATCGTCTTGGACAGCCTCAGGGGCTTCTGAGCAATTAATTGCACAGAGTACAAAGGTTGAAAAAGCAACGGCAGGTGCAAACTGTCCTACACTCTGATCCCATATGGTGCACTCTCATCATCCATTTCTTGAGGCTTCAGAAACTCCAAAGCTGATCCTGTGCTTTATAAATTGTGCCACTTTTACAGAATTATCCCCTTCACCTATTAAATTAATTGTTTTGCATAAACATGCATCAAATCTTATTGTTCCTTTCCAAGCTTCCAAAGTGTGCAGCTTACACCAGAGGGGAGAGAAGCTGAGAGAGACTTGGAAGATCATAAACCTCCCCCCCAAAAAGAACCAAACAATAAACAAAAAAAAAAAACCACCAGCTACTATATTCTATATATTCTATTTAGTAAAAAACCATACAAAACAATGCTTATCCTCAGGTTTATCCCTGTTGAAATAGTTTCTGACATTATTTAAATGAAGCATAAGTTTCCCAAGAACATTCAGCTTGCAAACCATTAAAACAGATTTTTTTTCTCATTTGATTAATATAAGCACAGGAAAATTCTGTAAGGCTGATCTTCAGGCAAAAAACCTGAAGTATTTTATGGTTACTATCAGGATAAGGGAAGTCAATATATCAAGCTCATAAGAAAGCTTGCATCCATTTAGATACCCATCAAAACCTAGTTCCCGAAGTTTTCCCATCTATCTCTCTAAACAACTAGTTACTAAAGAAACTAGTTTAGGTTTAGGTACATACCTAAACCTAGGTGTACCACATCAGACGCGTTAAGCAGAGGGGGACTAAGTTATTGCTTATTTGCAGAATAGAGATGTTGATTTTTCTCACTTGTGGGTGTATGCACTCAGTCCACATGTATTCGCAAACAAGACACAAAGGAAATAGCATCATTATCTCCTACCCTGTGATTAAGACTGTCATCCAGGATGTGGGAGACCAGAGTGCAGTGCCTTTATATCTGCCTTGAGGTTTAGAATCCATACCTCACCTATCTTTTTTTTAATTTTTTTTTCCCCAAACACCAAGCTATTGGATACCTTGAGCAAGGGTGAAGACATATGCCACTAAAGGGACATATCTCATTACACTGACACAACATCCTCTTGTGCATCTAGCATTACACATTCTTGGAAATTCCCCCCATAACATTTGTTTACATGGCATTTTGCAGGCAGGCACATGAAAATTCCACCCAAACTGAGCCAGCAGGACATGTGCCAGCTCTGAATGAAAAGCCATACTGTTGCATTTAGCACATCATCGAGCCTCAAATGATAAACTCCACTCAGCAGTAAGCAACTTTAAATCCTGGCATTTCTTAACTTTTCTTAACTTTTAACTACATAAAACCCAAAAATGCCTGCTTGCAATATATTAAGTAACAAGATTAGGAATTTTCCTCTGTCGCCCTTCCCTAGAATTTGAGCTAATGGTAAGACTTGCTTTCATTTTGTGTCCCTGTCTGTAGGAGGAAAAGATACACACCTTGACAATTTGTTTTTCAGCTTTTTGTAAGACAGTAATGCAATCTGAGATCTGGGAGGAGTGGCTCTGCTGACAAGTAGGCTGTACTTAATATGCCAGTGAAAATGATCCAGCTGCTTTGGAGAAAATGGTTAGAAAAATGAAAAGCTTAAAAGAAAAAATAATTATCTTAATGAAAATACTTATCTTTGACTTCCCTGTTCCCTCATGAACAACAAGATCTATGAAAACCGCTGTCAAAATGTCCAAGATTCACACAGAGAACAGTAACTGATTATTGCTGCCAATTACTTGTTTACTTCAAAGGATTTGCTTTGATAGACTGAAGATTTCAGTCTATTTAGAACCTTGGAGAAGGTGCTAAAAAAGCACCTTGGAGAAAGTAGTATGATTTTCAAAATCAATCACTCAAAAGTAACAAAGAAATGAAACTAAGACCTGCTTATGCAACATTAATTCAGCTACCTGTTTATGTATGCACAGGTCAGATCCAACAGGGAAGGGAGCTCAGCCTTTCACAAAGATACTTCTCAAAGCAAAGTCTAGTAATATTCCCTGCAAACCATGCAGAAAGTTACTTACAACCATTCTGTCTAGTTTCACTTAAGAAGTAGCAATAGTTTGTGCATGCTTTTGGAATTTTCAGTTTGCCTATATGAAAAATAAGTTTCAGTACACAAAGCAGTGATAAGTGCACTTAGAACCAAATCCCAAATCACCAGTCCAATATTCCCCTTGCATCATTTTGTGTAACATTTCGTACATATTTCAGCAGCAGGGCTGTCATTGAAAATTTCTGCTAACTGTTGGGGGTCTGAGCCTTGCCCAAGGGTTCTTCAGTTTCAGTCAGGCAGAGGTTGTAAACAAGCCACAAGCACAAGTGCAAAGCCTCACATTCAGTTCTGAATGTGCTTGTTTTAGTAAGTGAGGGGGCTGAATCTGAACAAAACCTCAGGAGTTCAGTATTACATGTACCATTTTATATCCAAGACAGATTTTGCAAGAGTCTTAATCTTGATGTGAAGTAAGAAAGTCTTCACCAGATAAAAGAAAAAAAAATCCTTCAGGGGTTCATCTAAGTTAATGTTGTAACTATGGAGTTAATCTGATGTTGGGTAAATAGCTGTTTACTTACTTGTCTAACATTTCCTTGTGTAAATGTTGATTCCAGTCTAAGAGACTAAACACCACTGCATTCTTTTCCTGTGAATGTGGCAATTCCTAAAACTGAGGGAAGTAACAGCATTTCAGCAGGGAAAGCCTGGACCTCAGGACACTCCCTGTGAGTCTGCAACGCTCCCTCCCTCCCTCATCTGTCCATGATGTTATGTTGCATACTTTAATGATCACAGAACAATTTTTCATTAATGACCTCTGCCCCATTCTGTATGTTGCAGACTTGGAGAGTGAATCAAGGCTGCATATGCAGTACAAAAGGCTGTCTTCTGAAAGTACTCAGCTTGGCCAAAAAGCTGGAAGAAAAATTTGAGCAAAGCCAGAATTGGAGGAAGAAGAGTCTGGTTTCATAGTCAAGGCTGATAAGTGGTAATCTGGAGCATTTTTCTCTGGACCTGCCTCTGTATAACACTTTTCTTTTAATTTTAGCAAATGCAATACAATGCCAAGTATATGGGGGGGAAAAACCAAACCAAGAAAAAAGGCTTGGGCAGCTGAACATACAAAGTGCATTATAGCACTGAATTGCAAGGCTTAATTCTGATCTATTAAATATGGGACCTATTAACCTGCTAAAAATGTTCTGAAAATATTATTGATACTTGACTAATATGTGAGACTGCTTAGAGACCATTGTGGCACCTTCCACATAAGAAATGATCAGAAAGTTAATAAAACTATTTACTTAGCTAATTTTTTAAAAAAACACAGTAAATATGGTCAGATGTAGACATTAATTTGCTTGTTATTTAATCACCAGTTATGGTATACAGAAGTAGCACAGGAAATAAAGGTAGCATAATGTATTTGGCCCTATGTGCAAAACTACTATATATTTTATTAAGGACCATTTTAAGAATGTTGAGTTCTATTAACAACAAAATCCAGAATTCCAAACAGTTTAGCTGTTAGCACAGTCACCCTTGTTAGTCGTGATTAAATTTCAAAAACAGAAAAGCGACAGCAATTCTGGGGAGGAAGGTCTTATTTTTCTATACCATCATTACCAATGAAGTCAAATCATTATTTTTATAAAATGAGGGTGAAAGCCTAAAGTTTTACAAAAGTTGCCTTCACTGAGAAAGATACCTATCACTTCCTTAAAAGTGTAGTGAGTATTTTATTCTTAATCAAAATGGGCTATTTATTCTGCCAGCCCCTGTAATTTTATAATGTGTGAAAGTGTTTGTGTTTTCTACCAAAAGACTATTCAATGCCATAAATACAGTTGTTCCTACCTTTCCTCTTACCCTTAGAGAGTAATTTTCTGACTTTCCTCAATGTACAGAGTGGGGGAAATGTGAAACAGGTAAACTATAAGGCTAAAAAAAGGCTAATAAGAGAATAGTAATTCAGAAGTTTGATTTTGGTTTGGTGGGTTATTTTTCACAGACAATCGTATGATTTTTTTTCCAAATCTTGGTTCAAGATTTTTGAGAAGCAGGGCTTACTCTTCATATGTGCATCCCTTTCCAAACTTCCATAGACTGTATCCAGGTAAGGATAGGCCATACTTCCAAAATCAGAATGAACTGAACCGAAACAGAGATAAACATATGTGATTGAATGACATACAAAGGAAAATACAAGGAAAACCAAGCTGACACTTAACATGTAACCACCAGACTCCATTGCACAACACTGCACAACACCCTATGCAAGGTGACTGCTTTTGTAACCAAGTTGCTTAAGCCACAGAGGAATGATCAAAATTTCAGTACAAAGTTTACCAAAACATGTTACCACTCTCTTTTATTTATAAAAGGAGATTCAAGACTTATTGTTTTGAAGGCTTAAAGTCTCACACTGTTGACAAGCAACATACCTCCTGGGAGCTCTTCACTAGCCTGATGACCAGCTGAGAGTCAACACACACTGTAAGCATTTGTTCATCAGTTCAGCAGAATTACACAGGACCCAGTGAGCATCTGGCATTCAAGAATGCAGCTGTCTTTGCTGCAGGCAGATTTATGGACATAAGTTTTGCAATTGCTACTTTTTGTGATCATTTGCAGTTAACTCATCTGCTAAATAGAGCACGGCCATTAAACAGGTTATCCAAATTTCTGCTCACTGCTGCAAGTCACTGAGAGAGTTGTGGCTTCCTTTTTTAATAGTATATATTAGCTTTAGGTGTTCCATGAAGGGATCAAACTGGCCAAGGGTCTCTCTATCTCTGCAGTCCCTGCAAGGGCTCTCCACCCTGAGGACTTGAGCTTCTGCATAAGAAGTCCCTTTGATATCTCTGAGTCAAGGATTTTCTACAAGTTTCTTGCACTCCATTATCCACAGGAGCCATCTTCTCTCCACTGTAGGGGCACTTCTGGCTGGAAGCTATGGTCTGCACCAATTTATCCAACCCTTGCCTCAAGATCCCCTCCCTACTCGAGATTTCCTCAGCGCCTCAGGCACACTCCAGCTCCACTACTCCATCTCATGGCCTCACTCTCCCTCCCTACTCTCTGGCACCTCCACAGCTTTCCCAGCCTGGTGGCCCCAGCATAGCTCCCCCAGACCCACTGTTGTTGGTCTTCCACCTTAGTTTAAGCTCTCTTGCTCTCATTCAGGGTCTTCTTCCTTTGGAGCTGCAGCAGCCCCTTCACTTCTCCAGCTTTAGTGAGCTGAAGGCTGGGCAGTGGCTGCTGCTCAGCCCAGCCCGAGCAGCCAGGAAGGGCAACAGGCGCTCCTTACCGGAGCACTCCTCAGACCCAGGGTTTCCTGGAGCAAGGCTGACCCGTGCCCAGCCCTCAGCCTCCTCTTGGGTTCCAGCTGCTTGCAGAGGAGACCCATCACAGCTTGGAGCTCAGCAGCTCTCCCCACCACAGACAAGTGACCAGGGTTTGTCCAGCCCCAGCCAGACCCCATGGCAGGTCTGCCCATTCCAACACCATCCTGGCTGCAGCCCTGAGCTGCCACAGGCCACAGCTGAGCCCCCACAAAGGGCTGAAGGACACCTGCTGCTGTAGGAAGGCTAAATCTGGAAGATGCTCTGGGAAGGGCATGTCCGTGGAGTGCACCCTGTCCCCAGCATGCAGAAACATGCAGACGACAGAAAGTCCACATCCCACCAAAACCAACTTTATGTGGTGCCGGTCCAAGGGACCTGCAATGTCTGAAGCCACATCCACACATTTTACTAAGCGTCTGCACTCAGCCTGGGAGTGCAGATGAGCAGCCAGCAAGCCCAATGGCACTAGAAACCTGTTTTGCTCATACTGAGGGCAGAAAGGCCACATGGCAGTTTTCCAGCTAGAGCAGAAAGGGAGTGAGGGGACACATCCAGAGGCCCGAAACACGCCATTCTTAGCTTTTATTTCATTAAAATTTGTGATCATCACAACTGCAAGAAGTGGCAAAAACTGTGTTGCAACTTCACAAATCTGGGGGAGATGCTTTACAGAAAGACATTTGTCTTTATTCTTGAGACCTTTCTTGGGCTGATCAGGACAAGAAAGTTAAAAAAACTCCCAAACCCAACCCCATGGAAACAGAATTCAGGACATCCATCCTTAGCTTTATAACATCTTACCACAGATTGCAGTGAGCAACTAGTACTGAGTCAGCTTCTTAAACCTCACTGAAAACTGAAATGGAATAGTCTCCCCTTTTACTGTCTTTTTGCAGCTGGTACAAAATGTAGCTTAATATCCTTTCCCCTTTTAATTAAATACACTGTTCAGCACTCTATTTCACAAGGCCTCCGAGCAACTTATCGATACATGTAATTACAGCAATCAGACTTCCCCTCCTCTCTAGAAAATCACTTACCAGCCATATCCTTGACAAAATGCTTGCGAAGAATAATACATCTGAAGTCAAATGTTATCTGCTAATTGACAGGACGGTTTCAACAATGTAACCTTATCTTAGGTAAATAAACTTCAAATGAAACCGAGCCAGAAATGCCAAATGAGATGATTGAGATTCCTTTTTGCTGCAGAGGGTCTTGTTTTGATAGTGCATTTCAACAGCAAAGGCTAAATGTGAAAGTCTAAGAGAGATTCTGAACCAAAAGAGAGGCTCAGTCCCTTCTGTTTATATGCTTTCCTATCTAAGTATTTTTCACAATAGGAAAAAATATCTGAGCAGGTCTGTAATTATGGTAGTAGAAAAAATGTTAAAAATTATCTTTACTTAGTATATTATTTGAAAAAAAAAAAGCATTTCTAGCATTTGTTTTAATTCTTATTTAGATTTTATATTTGTTTTTCCACTTCAATAAATAATTCATGAAACTAGCCTAAAGTTAACATTTTTAAAATACAACATTAAGTTACAGATGTAAAATTCTCATTAAAGATTCACATTAAAGTATCTGATCAAAGACAGCAGTAGTGTACACCAAATATGAGATTCCCAGATATGTGAAAGCAGTGAGAAAGAGGAGAAGCAGCCACCCACAGGGGAGGAGAAGATGGAGGAAAGAGAAATCCTGTCCCAATGCGTAGATTCTGAGGAGCAGATTCTGAGGGATGAAAGAATGTCCTGCAAATGGACTGCAAACTTTTCAACCACACATTGTCAGGTGTGCATGTTGTCCTGCTCCTATTTCTGATCAGTATTCAGAAATGTTAGGAGGCAGTGACCCTACCAAGTGCACTGCACTTCTGTAAAATTATTTGTTTTATAAAGCATAGCTGACCTCAAAACAAATGTAGCAATAATAACTTAAAATGCATTCTCAACTGAAGTTTGCCTCCTGAAATTCCAGTTAACTTTAGGTCTGTGGTTTTTTCATACAGATATAACCAGAAGACATTCCGTATGTCCAGAACTGTTACCTCACACTAAACTTGCAGATAGAGCATTACTCAGAAGCATTAGTCAGCACTGGCGGAGGTAGATTCTACACAGGAGACTGACCTTCATTGCAAAAGATAATCATACTGTGAGATGGGTTTTCAAACAATATGAGGGATAATTTTGTTATATTATAAACACTGCAGGAGAATGTACATTTGTAGGCTTTGATGTCAAGGTGGGGAGAAGAATAAATGGAGAATAAACAAATATACTGATTTTGATGTAGATTAAGAAATCAAGTTTCCAAAATTCACAGCTTATGCCTTATCATCCAGGCCAAATCTGATCGCTCTGTGTGGTCATAGCAACTGAAGCCTGGTACGGTGGCTGAGCCTTCGCTTCTAGATTCCAAAACACTTCCTTTTCTATCGCAAATTGTGATCTGATAAATTTATTCTGAACAAGATTACTAAAGAAGTGAGATTATTTATTTACTGATCTTGCTGGGTCTTCTCTGAAAAGGCCTTCTTTTTTGTAGAAATTGCATCTTCCTGCTCTTAATGCAGAAGTACATACGCATAACCTTTCCAGGATAGATTTCAGTAATTGTCTGACTGGCAGCTATATGACCTCTGAACATAAACTGTGTCCTGCAGCCTGTCCAGCTCAATGAAAATGTCAGTCTTATGCAGAAAAAGAAGAAAATAAATGATGTGTGGTGCTTAGATTGTATGCCAGTTTAAGGGATGTAGTATCCTTAAATGTACACCATACCACATTCTGAGTGGCTCAGTTTCCTAAACTGGACATGAACTCCCACTTTATCCAGGCCAAATATATTGGGAAACAACCAACTCACTAGTGCTGTAGTGAACCTTGTTCACTGTGGCTGACTGAGCCCTTACAAATCTGTTTGGGATTCCATCCTGATTAGTGCATGCAAATGCTCTTACACCATTCTGTCTAGGACAAATTCTGGAGGGACCACACAGAAGCAATCACCCACCCCTTGACCTAATTGTTGTTTGTGGTGAAGAGAAGATGGCCAGAAGGGTGTTACTTCTTGGAGAATGACAGCCTCAGCTTAGTAATGGCCTTCTACAAGACTCTTAGATTGATGTCTGACTGACTCAAGATGAGTCTTACAAGATTCATCCTAAATCTATTGCAGTAAACCTCCCTAGAAGAGAAGCCAGAAGAATCCTGGATCTTGGTTCCTAAAACAATTAAAAAATAATAAAGAAGTAATGAAAATAAACAAGGCCCATTCAGCATTCTACAGAGGATACTTAAAAGTGCTTCTTGTAGATCAGGCATCTTTAGATAGAACAGGGAGTTTACTCAAGAAGGAACAGTTCTGCAGTATAGCAAGGGAAATCAGAGAAAGGAAAACCCAGTATCTCAGGTAAAAATGGTGTTCATTTCCTCAAGAAATAAACTGAAGAAGTGTAATAGAGAATTATAATAGCAGGGTTGGCTTCAGAAGGAAGTTCAGGTGCAGAAGGAAGTTTGGGTGCAGGAAAACTGCATTTTAAGAAGACTGAAGGGAATGTTGTGTGCCAGGAATTCTATAGTCATCATGGGTGATGTTAGCTTTAATGCAGAAGGAAGAGAAAAGGAGAGACAAGCACAATAGCATCTGTTTCAGTGTACTCAGTTTGTCATTATAATCCAAAACACAAATGCTCTGGGGAGAAAAAAATAATACTAAAAACTGAACAATAATGGGAAACCTATCGGGCTATAACTTGTGGTGTAAATGTATGGGAGGAAAGTCAACAGCCTTGCAATGACAGAGAAAATTACTCCATCTTTGACTTCTGATCTGAAGGGCAGTAAAACTTTGTGATCAAATACAGACAGAAATACCCATACTTTTAAAACAAGTAATTGTTTTGTGAATCCTCATTTGTAAATAGAATAAAAAAGAATATCCAGAATTAGTAAACACCTTATAAAAATATTTAA